CGCACCACCATCATCCACAGGGACTACCACCAGCATCGACGCCACGAATTTCAGGCCCGTGCACGTGAGATCGACACGACCGATTCGACCGATTCGCTCGACCAGCTGCAAATTGGTGCAGCCGAGCCGCTTTACGGAACGGTCCACCGAATTGCCCGACCGTGTTAAAGGGCCATCGATTCGGCTTTGGCAACGCTCTCGAACCGATCCCGCGATCCTCCCGTACCAATTGGATACGTTTCGCGACTCTCTCCCGATCGTTTTCATCGGGCCGACTCCGGTGGGACGGGTCGAATCCATCGAGAGAATTACCGGTCCCCGAGTATCTGCTTTCGACTTTTTAACGAAAACCAATCGAAGCCCGATGGACATCGTTAGACTCGGCTCAACGAATCGGGTATCGTCCGATCGATACGGTTCCGAGCGAGCCGACGGAAACACGGGAGACGGGAGAAGGGTAAAAATGATCGGCGATCGTTAACGATCCGAGACGCGCGTTTTCGAGCGATCCCGGTTCACTGTGAGAAAAAGGGCTCGGCGAGCTAGGGGAGTGCTGAGACTGTTCAAAGCGTTCGTTTGTCTCGGAGCCGCGGCAGTCAGGCCCAATTAACCATAATTACAGCGCGGAGGAGAAAGAAACGGAGTACAGAGATTCGCCTGAGAGCCGGGGTTGAACGTTCCGAAGGAAAAACGAAACCGTTACCGTCCATAACGCGGGGTATATCTCCTGCTCCGATTCTCTCCCCCTTGCCTGCTGCCCTGCTCGCCTGACTGGCCGCGGCCTGGCCTGCTCTTGCCCTGGCTTCTCCTGCCTGCCTGCCCTGCCTGCCTGACTCTATAATTCCGTGCCGCGAGCGCGGACCGCCGGAGAGTGGGAAAGAATCCTGCGGATCTTGGTTAAACGTGCGTGCGTGCGTGCGTGCGTGTGCGTGTGTGCGTGCACCGCGCACCGTGTGCGATACTCACGGAGGCTAAGTAGAAACGTAGCTACGTCGAGGCTCCGCATCCTTGTTTTAGTGTCGAACCACGGGGAAGCACGCGACACGGAAGTATACACGGTAGAGGAAGTCGGACGTGGAAGACGATCCCGGATCAATGGAATCTCACGTCGCTGTCATTCTATCTACTCTGCGTCCCGAGTCAAACCGTCGAACGAACTGACACACTATCACGAGAGCCGAATACAAAGAGCAACCGTACTCCACGAAACGACGCGCGGTACTGAGGGCCGCGAACCCACGCCGCTCAGAGGCGACCCCTGCTCCGGGGGTTCACGGCCGGGCGACGGACTCGAGCGCCGCGACCAAGATGGCGTCACTATTCAGCACGGGCTCCGGTGTCGTCTTACCGACCGCGCTACGGGATCAATCCGAGGACGGCGTGATTCTTTAACCCTTTGAACTCTGTAGACTCCGATATCGCAGCAGTTGTAATATCAAATATTTTCATGAATCTTGACCCTTTGCGGACGAAGATTTCTTTTAGTATACAAAACCTTTCGCAGATTCTAAATTCAACGCTGAATACTTGAATCATTGAGAATAAGGAAGCGTACTGATTTCTTGCTGTTCGAATAGTTAAATCATTTGTTTGCAACTTGCTATTCCGAACATGGAAGTTTCATCTCAGCGAAATGCCGACATTCGTCCGCAAAGGGTTAAAAAAACTACCCTAAAGTTATTCGATTTTTCACGGATTCAAATTTTGTACTGACGAGGAAAATAAAGGATTGAACGAATGTTATAGCATTTCTAATTTTCGATTGCAATTCTGTACAAATTAGTTGCAGTTGCTGATAGATTGCAAGATAACCTGGAGTGCTAAGATTTCATATACCAAAGTAGATGAAACGGAGATATCGATTATCGAATCGTTTGGTCAAATTGCATTACCGTTATTGAACATTCATCTACTAGCATTATTCATAATATAGAAATATTTTAAAATGATCATCGTTTAATTGAGCGAACTATGGTAATTCGTTTTGGTTGGGTCACCGGTGACCTCCACGGTATTCAATGTGTTAATAAAATAAATTACGATCTCTTAATAAATAAAAATAGTATACCAGTGAATAATTACCAGTTCCTTTTTTTTCATGAACCAATAAATAAATCAAATATATTCAAATGAGTAATTAGTAATTCAGTAATAATAAATGTTTAAGATATTAAATATTTATGACAATAATTAACCATTTCTGAGCGAGGATTTTCAGAAGCATAGGAAATTGTGCGGCGGCTAAATTTCAGGTACTAGTGTATAATAAATAGTTCGAACTTTAATTCTCAGTTTTCTTTTTGGAACAGAGTCGAAGACCGTCGCGTTTTTTTTAACGAATGGAATTTAATTTGATCGGAATTGAGTGTATTGTATCGCAGACCAGATACAGATCCTATAGGGCAGAGGAATTCGAAGCATTCGAGAGGAATATCGATGGAAACGGATATAGGCATGGATTGGTTACAGGAAAATCCAGAATACCGCGAAATGAAAGAATGCGGTGGATAGTACAATTCAAATTTGATATATTATTTCATACATCTTATGACACGTACGTCGTTGTTCTCTCCCTCGGTAGTCGTAGTATCGTATTCCATAGTATTTATAATAACAATCTAAACAGTCACGTTACTTACATCCCTACGTTTAATATATACTTCTTTCGCTTTACATATTGGTGGTTACGTCTCTGTATCACTTCTATCATCTATTCTGAATCGATGCTCGCGTCCGTGGAGCATGTGAACCGCGCAAAGGAAAACGTCTGTTGCGAGTACTTCGGCGTAACGGGGACCGCCTGACGCGAGGAAAAAACAAGACGATTAATTTCGTTCGCAACGTCTGAAACAGTACTCCGACGTCTGCACAGACCGGCGAACGTTCCCGGATAGTCGAGCGGATGAAACTGGAAAGGTACGGTATGACGGGAAATCGATCGGAATAATAAAAGCGGTTATAGATTCATCTTCGAACATTCCGTTCTATCTTCGCCGTAAGCGCGTCGTTAACCGTCGGATCTGGAGTGGAGACGGATGCCGAACCCGTTGCTTAATCACGTATTTATACGTTCCCAACAAATTGATATCTTCGATTCCCCTCCGAACGAGCCCTGTCATTTACGCGGATCCGCCTTTACTCCGGACCGAGAGGTCACCGAACGATCGCGAATACAACGAACGGAAACGGTTCACCGAAATCAAAATATCTTCAAAGTGGCACTAGCTTTCTCCGAGCAATCCCTCTCTCGGCGATCCAGAATCCCGCCGCGTTGAAATGGTACATATTTACACAGACGATCAACGTGTCCCTCGTATATATATTCTATATACATGCCATATATGTCCTCGTGTTCATGCACGCGCATATTCGCACAGAACTCTCGCTGACATCCCATCGAGCGAGGTGACCGAGGGATTCGGGTGTTCCTCGTGATTGCATCCTGGAAAATTCCGGCTAACTACGTTGACTCTTTCGAACGGCGCACGACTATTTATATTATATACATCAGAGCCCTCGACCCCGAGAGGCGCGGTCCGTTCGCGAACGATCGTCTCGTTCCAGTTGATGAGTGAAAAGAAAAAATTCGCAAACGTTCACCGGACATTACACATCGTCGCGGGCGAACGGTGTTCCGAGTAACACTAACGTCGCGCAAGGAGATACCGCGCGGTAAACGAGCGCGAAGCGCGCGAACAATTATTCTACTTCTCTCTAATGGGCTGCGCCTTCCTTCGTTAAAAGGTTCCGCGATGATCCTCTCACCCCATCAATTTCCGTTTCCACCGCGGTGACTAGCGTCGTAATGATTGTTACATCTATCATGGCGGATCGTTCGGCCACGTTCGACACAATATACAGAATCGTTATCAAATTGCACGTAAGATAGAAAACCGTACGCGACCCGACCGCGACCGTTAACGCAGACGCGATGTGCATTGAGCAAACACAATCCGAAAGAAACGTGGACAGCGATATGTGTGTTCAAAGACAACTAGGCGAACGCTGGAAATTGGTTTTCTTCCCTGCTTATCGATACGATACGCTACCTAAGAATCCAAACTTATAACTTCAACATTACTAACGAGGCGTCGTGATATAGCACACGATCCCTCTTCGGCCGTACCCCAAGGAACAAATAGCATCGAAGAAATTTCGATTACGCGTGGTTCTGTCGGGAAAAGCAAGTGAATCAAGAGACCGGTAGCGCGACGCGACGGTCGCGCGTTTCAACGATATGTCTGTCTCGCGCGAAAAGAATCGCCTTTGGCCACGATCGCCAAGTCGATTTCCAGAATCCGCTTTCTTAATTAGTGACGATGATATGTACCATAGCCTTGTTGTCCCCCGTCTTTTCTTCTCGTTCCCTCTGGGATTCACTTTCGATCGCCCCATCCGGCGCTATTATAAAACCAAGACGATGCGCTCTCGTCCCTCGTTTTGCTCCATGTATTGTCCAAGCCACTACCTCCTCCATCCTATAAACAAAATCAATGTTCGTCGTGGATGTGTAAACAGACAAATCAAATGTAATTTCAGCTTGGCGATATCGGTATACATCTGACCCTCGATTTACGCGGACCTTCCTCACGCGAGCTTCTTTTTACACGGTAAATTGGAACACTACGTAGTTTTCGCGATCTCAATTTAGTAACAGCGAATGAAATATACTTTTGTCTTCCAAAATGTCATTGTTATTTCTTTCGTTAAGTTATGTGAAATATATAGTATTTCTAAAAGTTATAGAGTTCTCTAAAATATCATTATTCTTTCTTTTGTTAAGTTACGTGAAATACATATGTATTTCTAAAAGTTATACCAGCTCTTCGCAATATTTCGTTCTCCCACAATAATTTGATTGAACCCACGTGGAACGAATTTTCGAATCGAGGGTCAGATGTTTCTCGAGTGGTTGAAAAAATATATGTTTCCACGTTTCATATCAGTATCATTCGAATATAATTGTTAACCCTTTGCATTCAGGAGGTGACTCAGTCACCACTTGATTTCCTAAGTGAAGCTATAAAGTTTGATATTTAACACTAGGCTTACTGGCGTTTATTATACGGTTTTTCCATTGTTCCTAGGAAAATTAATCTTTATTCGTTTAGATTTTGGAAATTGGGGATTTAAAAATACTTTATTAGAATATACATTCATGTAATTGCATCAATGAAAATTGACATAAGCGTTTACAAAGTAATGTTTATAAAATTCAATATGCGTATAATTGATACGTTCTGTAAAGCTAGTGTTAATATTATACTTCACATAATGCATAAATCTGAGAAATATTGACGTAAAATAGCTTTGCCCGTCAATTCGCGTGAATTTGTCGAGCTGGTTTTACAAAGTATCGTCTTCATCTCATCAGAAAATGTTGAAATATTTCTAGTGAAAAACTTCGGAGTGCAAAGGGTTAAAGTTTCTCCCTTTCTGCCTGCCAAATTCGTCCGAATCGAATTTTCCACCCCTCCGTTTACATCCCTCTGCATTATCGCGAAACAGCTCCATACTTACCACCACATTTAACTGATGCGTCGCGGGGGATAAATAGTCCATGTTGGTGTAATAAGAGGAGTAGTTTTGATAACACTGTTGCTGAGATGTGGTTGTTGTCCATGCTAACCTCTGATGGTCACCAGGGAATCCCCCACCGTTCTCCGTCACTGCAGGACTCCAAATACTACTGCTACTGCCGCCGCTACTGTACACCGTGCCCCCTAACTAAACAGATAAAAGAGTTCCCCTCGGTTTTATCTGCCACTGGTAACGCTACTCCACCGTAGACTTTAAAACAGAAGCTTATCCCATGGAACCTTCACGCGCTCTGAAATACCGACGTTCATCGTCGGTATTTCAGAACTGCACGCTTGTCACAGACAAAAAAACAAATTAGCTGACATTTTACGAAACTTTGATTCACGAGAATTACTTGCTAGTAACATTTTTATAACATACCTCGGATCATATATTATATTTATATGTATTATATATTATATATTATATTTATATATATTATATATTATATATTATATTATATAATATATATAATATTTATATATATTATATATTATATTATTATATATATTTATCAATATAAATATCTATTCATTACGAAGGCTCTATTTTTTAGAATTACGCGTTAAGCTGGAGCTCTACTGGATTATTTATAGAACTGTTAACCCTTTGCACTCGGAAGTATTTCGTTGTAAATACTTAACATTTTCTAACTAGGCGAAGATAATATTTTTTGAAATTAACTCAAAGAGAAATCACAAGTAAACTGAGAAACAAAGCTGTTTTATCTCAATATTCACGCACCGATGTATTATACACGGTTCAATATTAAATATCAAATTTTATAATTTTCATCAAATCAGGTACCTGAGAGTCATCTCTCGAGTGCAAAGAGTTAAGTGCGAGAAATGTAAATTATTTACTGAAAAATAGGACGTTGAAAAATTCTGGTTGATATAAATGACAAAACTCATAAGCAGGTATTTGGTGGTTGACAAAGAAGCGTTTCATACTCGCCCCACCGTGTATCTCGAACGCGATATTATTCGTATAAATTATTGTCAAACGAAAACTTACACTTGGCGGTGTCGTGCTTGCTGCCAGAAGTAGACTGGTCGCACTTCCCGGTGGTTTGTACTGAGGAGAATCCCTTAGAAGTGCTGGTGAACTGGCTGCTGATCCACCTGTACCGCCGCTTCTGCACACACAAATTAAAACTATAAAATACATGTGTAACAAAACAAAACATAACTTCACACGGTGCTTTTCCTGCGATCATCTCTGTACGAGTACACTTCGGCGTATCCTTTACAATCCTTTCGGTAAAAAAGCAATTGCTCGAATAATTAACCCGTGGAAGGACATTATCGATGACCTCTCCTACTTCTCGGTTTTTTGGGGATTTCGAACGATGGATTGAATCGAATCCAATCGTTACCATCCAGGGAATAAAAACGATAAGAGTATTCAACCGGGTTAACCCCTTGTCCTACAACAACGAGTGAGACTCGTGGTGAAGATTTTCAAGATGATTCAACAAATATATATATATATATATATATATATATATATATATATTACTCAGTTCAGTCGAATTCAAAGTAAATTTTATTCCTCTGTAATCAACTATTATACTTAAAAGAAAATATAGGCATAACGTATGCTTAGAATTTTTCTCTTCTTCTAATGAATTATCAATGACAAAGTAGCCGTACTCAGAGTTGAGAAGGAAATCATAGGCCAAAGGGTTAGGAGTACCTTATTCGATGGGAGGACAAGCTGCAACGCGGTCTTTCAGATGAAAAGGTAGATATATTAACGTAATTGGAACTCACAGGGGTGTTGTAGCAGGCACCGCAGCGGCTGGCGTGGGCGTGGTAGCAATCGAAGGACTTTTTCCAGAGGGCGGATTGTTGGTCGGATTTCCCGAGGGCTTCTTCGACCTCGGTGCTTTGTCCTGTTGTTGCTGTTGTTGCTTCTGCTGCTGCCTACACTTGGCTCTACGGTTTTTGAACCACACCTGCGAGTACACGGGCGTCAATGATTACTTCTCTCGTCGAAGGAACATTAACGACAGATAATTGAACGACGGATGATTGAAAACAACTTGTAATTTATACTTCGGCAAACACGGCCAGCAATCCCATGGGGTAGAAGCGGGATGCTGCGCGCAGCTTTCACAAAGCTGGAGTAATAGCCAATTATAAGGAAATGCAGCACCGGTGCAACTATCAATTACCAATGAAGCCGAGTTTGGTAACGCAAGCGGAAGCCGGCACGCGTATCCGACTTGCTCGTGCCCTCGCTATCATTGGGGCAACGATATCGCGAGGATAGATCCACGGGGCGACCCACTTTTCCAAAAGTTTCGTTTACTTTCGCCGGTTAATTATCGAACGAAGGGACTCGTCGCATCGGCGAGCCTCGATCGAAATGGGAACATAATCACTGCCTCGCATACGTTCTCCGATCGTCACGGCGGATCGCCATCGGCTGTAAGCTGTCGGAGACAAAAATTTCGCGAGAATCGTCGGTCAGCCCCGGATTTCTGCGTTGGTATTCAACAGACTCGTCCTTCGATCCACCGTTCGCCCTCCTAGATTTCCAGAACGCGAGAACGACCTCGAGAGAAGGACGCCGGAGAACGAACGAGCTGGAAGAACGAAGACGGGGAATAAAGTGGTAAGAGAGAGCGAGGGAGAGAGAGAAAGTGAGAGGGAACGAGAGGACGGCGAGGGAGGCGAAGCGAGAGCAAAGAGGAGAGGGAGAGAAGGTGGCGAGAAAGAGAGGAACCTAGAGAAGCCCTGCGCGATCAATGTTAGAAGCGGAGAGGTGAGCTTGGGTTTCTACGGATTTTCTGGGGAACGACACGGGCGACCCGCGTTCTTCCACTGAAGCTGTTCCCCGAGGTATGCCCTTACGTACGCTATACGAATTCTTCGGTTTTAAACCGCCATCGCTCGCGTTCCGAAGTACTCCACCTTATACTCGTCATCAAATTTTCCCATTCTTGCGAAAACAATGTTCCAGGTTGTAATTCTAGTCTTTGAACTGGAGTACGCCGTTAGAATGGCGACGAGGAGCTTGCAACCCTTAACCATTTGCACTCGGTGACTCACCACTTGATTTGATGTAACAAAATTATAAAGTTCTATGTGACTTAGGCTTCGTATAATATGTCAAATAAAGAAATAAAATGGCTCGGTTCACGTATGTTTTCTCAGTTTCGAAGAATAGAGCCTATATTTTATAGGAAAATGTCGAGAAATTCTGGTGGAGAACTTCCGAGCACAAAGAACGAATCCTGTTAAGAGAAACAGTTTCAGTTCCGCGACAAAGTCGCAGCTCGCGTTGTCTGTCGGGTGGGTTCGATTGAAAAGCCGCGCGCAGGGATCAGAGAATGCCACGAGCCGAGAGGAGAAGGCTGCTGTCCTGCAGTCAACGACGACGAACGTGCAGAAGACTATGGGCCGGTTTGGACCCATTCAATTCATTTGCGGGGCCGGGGACCAGGTGCGCCGGCCCGCAATTGCGGATGCGATGCGCCCTTTCCGCCGCTGATGAGGGTGGAATATGCATGGCCACGTTCACGGACCCTGTCGGCTTCGAAAGTCGATTCGGACGACACGAAGTCGTTCGTGACGGCGTCGAACGTGAACGATTCCACGATTCGTCCGGCGAATCGACGGACAATCTCCGTCACGGGAGTTCCTCCTTTGACCCGCTGAAAGGCGCACCGAGACGATGCGAATGGTTTTTCCCTTTTTCCGGGGGCAGCGGGGCGGCGCGCCGCTTTTCAGGGAGGAAACAATACGAGCGACACGGGCTCGCCCGCTCACGGGGTGAACTACTAACTTGGTTAATACCCACTATCCAGGAAACACGAGCGTTCGGTAAATCGATGCTGTCTACGGACTGTGTTGTCTGCATGCCGACACTGGTTCCCCTAGGTAACGAGACACCGAGCGGGGTATCCCCCGGGCGTTTTCTCTCGCCGTGCGAAACCGCCGTCTTCGCGATACAGCCGAACTTGCCGGGACATACCTGCACTCTCGACTCCGGGAGGTTGATTTTCATCGCCACCTCCTCCCGCATGAAAATGTCGGGGTACTTCGTCTTCGAGAACAGCCCCTCGAGGATGTCCAGCTGTGCACGCGTGAACGTTGTCCGCTCCCTTCGTTGCTTCCTCGGGTTGCCTTTAAAAAGCGACCAGATCGCTGTTTAGAACACCGCGACTTTCGTTCAGGATCTTTCGCGTCTGATCACTCTATCCGTTCCCGTAGGAACACCGATGAGAATTAGCGTGAATTCGATCATCGGTCCGCGGCGAGAATAGATTTTTCATTATTTAGTAGTAGTATAAGACATGGGGCACTCACAGTAGTAGGACTCACCGGCGGGAGTGCAACCGGGGTAGCCGATGGTGGAGTGCAGGGCCTCTATGGGCGGCATGCCGAGGGCACTGACGTAAGGGTTGGTCTTCAGGGCGCCGTAGGGGCCGGCCGCGGACGCGCCAAACGCGGCGGGCCCGAAAAGCTCGGAGGCCGAGGTGGTGGAGGCGGCGAGGCCCCCGAGATCGGTGGCACCGGCGCCTCCGCTGCAGCCGGAAGTACCGCCGAGGCTGTTCGGCCACATCACCACCCCCTCGGCCCCCACCACGACCACCCCCCCGCCCCGCGGCCTCTTTATTGGGACCTCCTTCGCTCCTCCGAATTACCCACTGCTTCTGAAAGTCAAATTCAAAGGTTATCTCCTCGCGGCCGAACACTTTTCGTCGAACATTCGGATTTAACACTTTGACAAACTAGATATACACTCGTCAAAACTTCTACGCAATCGAAGCAATTTTCTTAACAACGCTGAAACTAAGAAGTCGATATTCTTCGTAACGATTGCTCTACTATCTTTCTAGTATCTCAAACAGAATTCAGTTTGTTTGTTTCATCACCGAGAAAAGTAATGTTTAAGTTTATGCGAATCATGGTGTCACCCGAATTCGGTGTAGACACTGTTTTGCAGATAAATCGAGGAAGTATCTGTAGACCGTATTCAACCCTTCGCATTCGAGAAGCGACTTTCAGTCACCGCTTGACACGGTGAAGTTATAAAGTTTGATATTTGTAGGATGCATCGGTATGCGAAGTGTTGAAATGAAACAGCTTCGTTCTCTAATTCGCGTGCGATCACTGTTCGAGTTGGCTTCGAAGAATGTCGTCTATATCTCGCGTGAAAGCATCGAGTGTTTCTGGTGGAAAACTTTCGAATGCGAAAGGTTAATGAGAAAACTGCTGACAGCGGACGCTGCACCCTGCTCAATTCACTCTATTATTGTTCTCGTTACCGTACATTTTTATAAATATAAACGTCGTTCCTTTTATCTGCACTTTCATACTTTTAATGCTTCTAGCCAGCGCAGTAGAGACAGATTATTATTATTGTTATTATTATCGTTATTTTTATAAAACGGTTGCGCCGACTGTCCGCGCGACTCGGGAGTACAAGCACGCGTGGGCGTTCCTAACAATTGACGTAAATTGTATCCTGGTCTTCGTCGCGTGTATGTTATTGCCGTCCATAAGTATCGGATCAGTTACGGGAGATTAAATAAACGTAAAAAGTTGTTAGGGAATCGCTGGAACCCAACCAACTTTTTCACCCGGTGCAATCCGTTCGGCTATAAAGAATTCGTGCGTCGAACGTTGCGGTGCAAATTTCTCCAATTATAAGTAACGACATTAAATCTTCCTTAAAAATCTTAAAACCACGGGAACAATCCGTCCATGGAATCTATTCGTGGAAACTGTGCGAATTGCGGGGTTGCGCAACGCCGCGACACGACGCACAACTTTTAATAAGATACAGTTGTGTACGGTAATTACGTAAATAGCATCCGAACGTAGCCGAACGCACGCGTCTTCGCCAAGGTACTGCAAGGGAAAAGGTAAGAAAGGTTGCGTAACAACCGTTAAATATCACCTTCTTCCCAATATCGGCGGATAATCTAGTACTTACGGAATCCGGCGTAAGTACGTACGTCACCGCGAACGCTTCAAATGTTCGCGTTCGTTCGCTGACGCCGATCCGACGACGTCGGTGCATACGCTTGCCTGACCCCGAACGACTCGCGCCGAGACGGACTTCGGAGGCCGCGGCTCGCGATAATTTCAGCGGGAGGGAAGCCACGCTACGAAACGGAAGTGGAAGATAATGGAAAGTTCCCGGGCACTTTATGCGAATATCGAAACCGATCGCGGAAGGTGGAACAAACGTCGACGCGGTTGGCAGCTGGCTGCGGGGGATAATCCGAGGAAGATGCAACACGACTCCGACGCTTTCCGAAACCGTCCACGACCCTCCCCTCCGGCCCGTGTACGACAGCGCGGAGAGGCTAATTCAGAAACCGCGTCCTCTCTCTGTCTCGAAAACCGAGAACGGTTTGGAAAAAAAAAGGGACGATGATCCTCGCCGCTTTCGGGTATAGCGTCGCAGCCTTTCCGCCTCGCGTTTAGCCGTTGCTTAAGCCGCGTTTTATCCTCTCCGATTACAAAGTCAAGAACGTCAGCCCATCGGCCTCGTTCCGTTCGCCTTTCGATCTCGCACCTCCGCGCCCCCGAGGGCTTATTAATTTATTTGCCTTTCCGTTTATTACATCCCGGCTGCACACGTTCCACATCTGCGTCGCGACGTCGTCGACCCACGGAACATTGTTCTCCGGCGAGCGGAGTCGCCGTCTCCGCTGGGACGGCGGGGATGGCCGATCGGCCGCTTCGCATATGTCTCGGATTAAGGAGAGCTAATCGGCCCGGTAATTAACATGTGCGACGCGAAAAACAATCGCGCGACAGAAGGCGGCCGAGTGTTTCCGAAACGATTCGTTTAGAACGATTAAGAGCACCGCGCTCGGGAACAACACGCGCAAACACGCGGAGTCGCGCACGGAAACAGCGAAGCTCCCGCTTCGCCTATCGCGCGCCGCTCGCCAGCGCGAAATGAAATTTCGCATCGATAAACCCTCTTTAATGGAGCCATTGTTCCCGTTCCGCATCGGTCTCTGCGTCGGAACCACGAGTTTCGTATGAAAGGAACTACGCCGCGCGGAGGGCGGTGTTCGGGATACTCGTGCGGTTGCTGGAGCGAAAGTTCCTTCGCGCAAATATGGATGAAACACCCACGTCGCCTCTCGACCGCTACTCGACTTTCCCAGTGTACAGTGCCCCGCCGCGTTTGTCGTCGAAACTTCTAACGTTTCCGCCTCGATTCCCGAATACAATCCCTCGTCGCGCGGAAAACGTAACTCCCGGCGTCGGATCTCGCGAATTTCGCTCATCGAATCGAAAGGAAAATCATCCCCCGTCGCGCCACCGAAGATTATTTACACCGTTCCGAGAAACCGGAATGAAAAGCAACGAATACGCGGATGCGGGAAGAATGGCCGCGACTCGGAACGATACAGCGCGAAATGATTTTACCGTTTAATTGCGTTCTCGGCCGGAGATCCTTCCTGCGAAATGAAGTTTCAGCCCGATGAAAGAGAATCCATAAAGAGCGAGCTTTCCCCGTGACGTCTCTTCCCCGGCTGGCTATATTAAAATTTGGCTCGCTATGAAAAGAAGGCCAACGAAGAAAGGCCGGCAGCTCGTACTACCCCTCTCTCTCTCTCTCTCTCTCTTTCTCTCTCTCACTCTCTCTCTCTTTCTCTCCCTGTCTCTCGAGGGTCCTCGTGGAACAAGTCAGGCGCGAATCTCTCTACCTTTGTGCACTCGTGCGCTTTACACTAACCACAAAGCACTCGTTACAAGCCAGCCGGCGCGGGAGCGCGGCTGAGAAACGTGCAAACAATCACCGGACCGCGATAATCGGTGTTTCGATTTCTTCCGCGGGATCCGCACCACGGCGAGGATCGCGGCTGCGGTCTCCGTGTGCCGGAAAACTGTGCGCGACGCGGTGACCACCGGGACCGCACATTTAATTCGCGGTGACGATTTCCGCGTCGATACCGATATATCCGGGCACGGTGCACGGAACAAAGGCCGCAGGGTTTCGGTCGGGGGCTCGCGACTTCACCGCGAATCTGCCACACTTATTTACACTGGCGTGATATTAAAAGCCCGCCGCGGAACCGAAACGTTCGAAACGAAAGCGGCGCTGGAGGGGAGCCCGCTCGAGAATCCTCTCCGGTCGCGATTGCCAGAAGTCTCTTTATCTTTGTGCAGTTCGGCGCACAGGACAATGCACTTGTTACAGGCAGCCAAGTGTGGACAAAATGCCCAAGTCGCCACTCGATTGCCCCTCGAGGACACTCGAGTTGTCTACGAGCCTGCTGTAGCGGAGAGGCCGAGGGAACCGGCGAGAGTCAGAGAAAGACGGAGACGGTCTGCCTTTTCCACCCCCGATGAATCGATCTCCCGCTGCAACCAGCCACCCCCCACCCTCGGCCCTTCGTCAGTCCGGCCCTACTGCAAACACTTTGCGTTACCAATCGACGTATATACCGGCACGCCGTCCCTAATGACTGTTAAATCCCCATTATTGCGTACCGCGTGCGCGCCCGCGTTCTCGAGGTTAGCCGTTCGCGCTCGAGAATTCGATATGCGACCACCCGGCGGATTCTATCTTCGAATCGGATCGTGTAAGTACCAACTATAGGCCACGTGCGTCTTGTTTTCGCCACCGACGACCGGCTCCCGGGCAGGAGTTACTTTGTCACGGGAATATCTACTCGCTCTTCCATTTCACGATCGATTAGTCGCGATACGCGTTAACGAGACGCGCGTCCAACGTGTACACGTATGGGTACGTTCGGTGTTGCTTTCAGCGTTTATCTAGAAAAATGTCATGGTCGTTCTCTTAAGACGAATCGTTTCACGTCGAGTCGTTCTGCGTTCCGTTCGATCGAACGCATCCATCGTAGCGAGGAGAAATACGAACATACGCGGTGACTAGTCGCCGTACGGAGAATCATGGTCGGTGATATTTTAATTTCGAGGCACCCCGTCGCGGCCCAAGGAAGAAATATAGCGGGTTTCGCGGAGGCTGCGAGCACAATTTGCCTCGGAGTTCTATTCGGTGGTGCGCGAGGACCGACTACCACTGGCAGAGCTATCCGTGGAAAGTTAAGTTCCGGCTGCATTGTTTCCAGGAGTGTTTGCACACAACCGCATTGTTCCTGAAGAGCAAGCACACTCTCGCTCCCGGCGTCCACAATGGACGTGTACCGTGTATGTCGCGCACAGTCTGTGCGTAAAGAGGAGAGCTCCGCGCGCTCGCTGGTAGCACCAGGAAAACCCACACCGGGTACTCACGGGGAATTAACCGATTTTACCAAATACGCGTTTCAGCTACCCGGCCTCGCGTCCCGGCTGGCTGCAACGATCTTTATTGCGGAACGTCTCGACGTCTCCTCCACCCTCGAACGATGAAATTGCGTCTTAACGATCGTCGCCGATAACGTCGCGAGATGACGGAACCCCCGAAACGCGGGAGGGCGGCGGCGGCGGCGGCGGCGGCGGCGGTTCGCGGCTCGTTCCGCTTCCACGAAACCTCCTCGGAAAGAAGGTCGCGTTCCGACACTCGAAAGTCGAGGGCGGATTTTTCCGCGGAACAAAACCTGTCCACGAGCGTCTTCCATGCCGTGATCGTACTTGAATGCCTCCGCTAAGAAGTGGCATCCGCGTAGTCACGGGGAAACGTTTCTTCGCCGAGTTCGCATTCAATTGCCACTTAGCCCCGGAGCACGGCGTTTTGTTGCGCGCTCATTGAGCGTAAAACTTAATTCCCGTGGAAAACACCATGGGCAACGCGCGCGTATATCTCCGGCGTACACGTAGGTAGGTATATACCTATCTTCGGGGCTTGTTCTTTCACTCGGATAGTTAGTTTTTATTCCCGTCTCGGAGGGAAAAAGATTCCACCGGGGGTTGCTGCCGCTCGTACCCTACCCGCCGCAAGGGATGAGCTCTTTTTCTTTTCTTCCAGTTCCACCGTCTCGTTGCTTCTTCCGATCTCATTCTTTTCTCATCCCCCGGACTGGTACCGGGGATCGAAGGAAACTCGCCGATCGCTTCGAGCCAATTTATGAAAGGTTTCGTGCGATCGGATCGTGTCGGTCACGGCTTCGCCGCGTCGTCGGTTCGGCCGCCCACCTTAAAGTCCCGCGCCATTTTGAAACCGTCCACACGTGGTAAACACCGATTCTTGAACGTTGCTCGGCGATCCGAGGGCGAATCCGTTCGACGTTAGTCCTCGAATGATCCGGATGGGAGTTAAAGCTCGCCCGAGGATTCATAGGTTTCGTATCTGTACCCAAGATCGCGTGTACTCTTTGGGAACGACAACGATTCCGAGCGTTTCCTCGAAAAGACGTCCGTTCCGGCGCGCAGGCTGTCGCAGGGAAACGGTTCGGCGTCGTAGGATACTTTTCTAAGACGCGCGACGATCGGTCGCGATACAGTTTTCCGCGATACATACGGAAACCCGGCACTGACTAGGATTCGAAGCGTTCTCCGCTCCCGCGAAGGACGCTCCGCCGCGTATACACGACGAGGAGACGAAGGTCCTCCTCGTGGAAGGCGGACCTTAACCGGGAGGGAGGCAAGCCAAGAAGATTACCGTAAGCAGATTATTTCCGTGGAAATCCTGCTGGCCAACTCTCTCTCGGTCTACGGCGGCACGCTCGAACGCTTTGGAGCCGAATCCTCGCTCGAAATAGTAGCCGCCAACCGAACGCCGCGTCGAGTCGATAGGATTCGCGTGAAACTCTCATCGGCGTTTGCGAACGGACCGCCGATAGTCAACCGCGAAATGTATTTACACAAAGATACCGGTGAACTGTCGGGTTCTCGTATCGTCGGTCGTTCACAGTTTCCTTCGCGGATAAACCGCGTGAACGCCGAAGGCCGTACGGCGCCTCGTGCCTTACTCTGTGGTGGATTTTGTTTTATCGTTATCGTGGGTGTAACGGTAGCATCACGGCGACATCCGCGTTTCCAGCGGGCCGATCGGCGTGTTATTCGACAGTAGTTCCCGGCGTAGATGCAGTTTATGAATCGCTCGATAAAACGGCGATGCGGGAAGAAATACGAGCGGATTAAATTTTTCCCGGCGGACTCGCGCGCGGTTATTTAGCCGCGGACGCGACAACGAACATTCGGCAGTGGCCCGGTGAAAAGCTCCCGGTGCTGGTTGCGATTAATAAAACGCCCATCGACGCTTGCGCGAAAGACTGCACCGGATTAACTTTTTCCTCCGGCAGCGTATCATTTGCTCCATGAAAAGTAATGGCCGTAAATGCTTTCGCTCGACGACAAAAATTGCAA